ATCTGTCGATCTGGCCTGCCACTGTCCGGGCTTGCTGAACTGCGGGCTGGAAAAAGTAGGTGACTGCTCTCGTGACTCCGATTAATGCCAGGATGGCAAGGCGGATCTCTGTGCTTCGCATCAAATGCTGGAAGAGAGTCGGCGCGATTGATGCCCCTTGCGATATTGACTTTGCCGCCGCAAACTTGCGCAGGAGGAAGAAAGCGCTGAGACACTCAAGCACAGCTAAGGATGAGAAGTAGCCAACATGGAGACCGTTGATGGTCGGCATTAGATCAGACTCTCCGTTCACGAGTATCTTCACCCGGGAAACCAGTATCATCATCCTGAGAACAAAGATGGCCCCTATCACTATCCAGAAAAGAGTCATGAAAATGATACGGTCGCGGCTGCGCAGAACGCGGGTGAGAATAGCATAACTGTAGAATGAAATGCCTGCTTCTTGAATCTGAAGTTAAATTAGATTGAAGTCTATCCATATGAGCCTTTACTAAAAAGAAAATGCAAACGCGGCGTACCATCCACATGACATCCGCAACACCAGACGCAACCGCCGTATTCAAGATGGGGTAGTCTGCATAGAAGCTGTAATAACATAACCCATTTGCGATAGAGCCTGCGACAGAAACAATAATGGGTATAAGTGATACGGGCGAAAAGGCCGTGATGCCAGCAATGATGAAGCCAAAAAGTGTGTTGGCCACGCCGATAGTGCTCAAGATGGCCCAGCTTGTCTCGAAGTAAACGATGGCCATCGCGGCGCCTTGGGTTGCAGGCGCATATGCAACTTCGCAGGGTCAAAGCTTTCACATTACGGCCTCCACATTTGTCTTATACACTTTTTGATGCGCGACGGGCGCAGTCAGGAACATAGAACGCCCGCTACGCCCCCCCCTTCTTACTGCAGAAAGCTGAATCTGTTACGTAGACACCATTTCCGGATCCTTCTCTTGCGCTCCAATGGTTCCCTTCCGAGCCACATCTTGGATTTGTGGCTGGCATCAGGATTCGACGCGCGCCAATGAGCATTGCGGAGGGCTTGGACTAATACCGGTTTGTGGGGTGAAAGCTGGGGTAGACATGAATGATCGCCTAGAACATGCGCCTATTTCCCCAGCTTTTGTCCGCTCAACGGCTTGATTGGTTCCCCGGTGATTGTCATCATTGCCATCACTGCAAGGTCGTATCACCACCGTTGAAGCCGGTGGGATATATCTTTCCCCGCCTGCGGCCTTCAAATGAGAATCTTTTCACGCCTTCTCTACTCGATTATACAGTCGCACAGTTGCCTGAGGCCTTGTTGACGTCCCTAAAACGTATACCATGTCCCTCCAGATCCATGCCCATGCATGTTGGATCACACGAGAGATGGTTCACGCGTGTCTGGCAGTTTTGCGCTAGACAAGTTACATACAACCTTGGAGACAGGAAGGGAATAGCGAGACCATTATACCCAGAATCTTGCAGGTTGAGTGGCAGCCAACAGAGGTTGGTCAGACGACTCTTTGACCTTTTGTGTAAGCATGGACGTCTTCTAGAAAGAGGTTTAGGCAACCGATCGAGGAATCCTTTCCCCTCCTGCGGGCACACCTTCCCAGCAAGGGTTGAGTGGCCGTCATCTTGCGTGCCTCAATACCAATGAGGGTAATGATCGTAACTTTTCAGCTTGACGGGCGCCCCGAGGGGATATTTGCCGGAGCAAGAGAAGCGGTTAATATCACATCCTTGTCTACAAGACTCTGAAACGTCAAGTTACACCTGCTTTAACCTCACAACGTAGTCGTACAGGTACGCCTCGTCTTCTGAAATTGGCGGGGTAGAGATCAAGCAATCCGAATTGGGCCGCTTCTTCCTGCATGATGCATCTTGGCCACATGTTTCCCACATGGCAATAATATCGGCACGCGATTTCCTGCAGATCCTTTTACCGGTGAGGTTCGCATAGAAGACTTTTCGAAGAAGGTTATTGCCATCGCTTACGCACCACACTCTTCCGCCATCTTCCACGAAGGCAGATACTTTAAATTGTGCTTGAGGTCAGCTCGAGCTGCGCCACTTTCCGACGGCTGTGTTTGAATACAAGACACACTCTCATCAATACATCTATGATTGACTTCTCTTCCAACAAGAAATCATCCTCACATCATACAGCATGCTGCTCTTTACAAAGCCTATGCCTCCAAAGATCAGGAAGAAGAGAGCAAGGACAGGTACGTAGTCGCACGGGTACCGAAGACGGGATGGAACATATAGCTGACAGTGTCGACATATAGGTTGCTCTAGTTGGTAGGTGATCTCATGCCTCGGCTGATTGGTAGCTGCTCACACCTTCCCAGCAAAGAAGCGAGAAAAAAGTGCTGCGAGCGGAAGCCTCGATGCACACGCTGCACTGAGAGAGGGTTGGAGTGCATCTACAACCCTGTCGAGCCACGTCGCAGCAAACATGCCAACGGGATAGCCTCGAAGACTCCCCGTAGTGTTTCTCCAACGCAACACTTTAAATCGAGACGATCTTTAGAGACTGTCTCGGATGGCGGCTTCACTGAACCTCCAAGGGATGCTCACTCTACATCAAGTCACTCACCCCCTGAGACACCAGAATGGGCCAGCTTCAGCCAATTCGACTTCTGTGACAAGCCAGTTGATCAGCTCGCAAATTTTGATCGAGAGAGCGATTCACTGAGTAGCTCACGGTTCGACTTTGTCCCGCTTAACGCAGAGTTATCCCAGTCCAGCACCATCGACATCGCGTCTCTGCTGTCTGGCCTCGAAATACCGCAACCGTCATTCTCAAACCTTACAGACTGCGCCCACGAAAGGAAACTCATTCATCATTTCTCTAGTGTTCTTTCCCATTTGATCGTCTTCACGGAAGAGCCAGACAATCTTTTTCAGGGTTTCATTCTGCCTCTATGCTCCGATAACTCGCCCGTCCTGCACGCCATGTGTGCCTTCGCCAAGGGACATCTTGAGTATATGGGCGTGCAAGACTCCAAGCATTCTTCAAACTACAGAGTTCTTGCTGCTGAGGGTGTTTTTCAACTTGTGCAGCAGAACTGCCGACAGGAAGAGGTTTTGGCGGCAACCATGCTGCTCGTGTACTACGAATCCGTGAGCATTTTTCCCTCAACAGTCCTTCATGGAAAGATCAATGCTAACTAGTAAAAGCTCACCTTAACAGGAGCAACCAATATGGTTCTTGAGCACCTGAGAAGTGCCTTCCTTGTGCTGAGTTCGATTCCGATGTCCAAGAAGACACGCAGTATCTTGTTTCTTGAAAAGGTACGTGTGCTGACTTCCAAGGTCTCTCTGGAGCCAAGACTAATTTAACGAAAAGGCTTTCCAATTTTACGACGTGATCACTGCCCTTTCTCTAGGACGTAGTCCAGTCTCTACTGTACCTGCAACCGAGCATGTCTACTCCATGGCATCACCTTCGTCCAAGTCGGCTCAAAACGGCCCCGTTGATCCACTTCTCGGTATGACTGGCAATCTGTGGCCAGTTCTTTACCGTCTCAGCACTCTCAAATCCCTGAAAGGGGACTTGGACGGCGCAGTCTCCAACAACCAACCAGCCAAAGCCGCCGTTCTTCTGATGGAGTACGAATCCACGGTCAAAGCAGTCCAAAAGGCTCTCCAAGATTGGGCACCTCCAGTGCAGTCAGACGAGGACTTTGAGCCCTTTTGTGATTCAGATTCCCAGGGTGCGTTCCGCGCCATGGTCCACAACTCCATGGCATATCGTCACGGTGCTTTGGTATACCTTAACCGGTCGATCCACGACCACCCAGTCGACCATCCTGCGGTTCAGGAAAACTGCCATCTTACCCTAGAGAACTGCGTTGCGGTCATCGCATCTGGTGGACCGGTCAATGCACTCCTCTGGCCTTTGTTCGTAGCAGCCTGCGAAGCTATCACGGATCAGGACCGGGGCCTCGCAAGGTACGCCTTCATTGAAATCGAACGTAGGCAGGGCATGATCAATATCGAGAGAGCTCGTGCAGTTGTCCTTCATCAGTGGGCTGCTGCGACGTCGGGAAACCCCAACGGCGGCTGCAATACGGGCGCTGAAGCGTGGAGGGAGGTTGCCGGGAGTATGGGAATGACAATTATTTTCGGTTAGATCGGGTACTTAAAAGGGGGCACAAGGATACAGGAGACTCGTTTCTTTTCATAATTACCTGTTTGTAGACACCATAATCACTAGACCCTAATTTGTACTCAGACGCCATAGGCATAGCTAATTCAACGGACACTATGAAAGAACTGCACACGGCTCTTGGGCACAAATGCTTAGCCTAGATATTGTTGATGATTGCTCTCCACAGTCGTGACCCAATTGAGCGGCACCCGTGCAACCCCGGTCCGGGCCTTTGTGGGTCGATACCGTAGCGGGACTTGGGACCGGGCCGCACACTAGATCCCGTTAGCCACGGACGGCCCTTCTGTGTTTGCCTGCAAAGCTGGACCAAGGAGTGAAGAAGATCGGGGAATTTTCCTGCCATCCAACCTACTTGGTCCTGAGCTCTCAACGCCAGAAATTGACTAATGCGTCTTCTTAACAGGGCAACCTAGGCGCCCGAAATGTCTCGGCGCTTAGCCACCCCCATTGATCTGCCTCTTGACCAACCCCTGTAATCCAATGGCGTACGTCTAACCTGAGATGAGTCTCCACTACAACGTCAAGGCAACATCGTGCAGGCCTCCGATTCACACCCTCTCGACTCGTCTAACGGCCCGCGCCTAGTGCGGGTGGTGGTATGATCCGCCTCTCATAGACGAGCGCATACGCTCGTTGGCTTTGAAGCCTCGCCATGATTGGTTTGTCTTTCCCAGAAATGGTCCATTTTCATGCGGTCACGAGGTGTTCAAGTGGCCTTCTTGGGCCCCTCTTGAAAGGGCTTGAAGGTATGTATGACGAGCGCAGTCCCAACCTTTTTTAGACGCAGGTGACCGTTGTCCTACTCTTGCTGCTCAATCTGTGGTGCAACCAGGCAAAGATGGACAATGAAAGGCCTGTCCGGCTTCTCTCTTTGGGTAAGTTTTCCAGTTCATACCAGTTATCCCTATGATTATCGACTAATATACGCGCCATGATAGATGGCGGGGGTATCCGCGGGCTCTCCTCCATCTTGATTCTGAAAGATTTGATGCGTCATGTGAATCAAGATCGTGATCCCAATAGCCAGCTTCAACCTTGGCAAGTCTTCGATCTCATCGGGGGTACAAGTACTGGCGGGTGAGCATAGAGTCTGCACCTATCTAGATGACTCAGAATCGTGCAGTCTGACGGGTGTTTCCCATAGCATTATTGCTATAATGCTAGGATGTCTTCGCATGACGGTCGACGAATGTGAAGAGGCGTACATTCGTCTTGCAAAAACAATTTTCAAGCCGAAGCGATGGAAATACAACGCCTTCAGCCGTGGTGTCGACTTCTTCTCCGCTAGTGAACGCTACGATTCATCCAAGTTGGAAAGTGTTGTCAAAGAAATCATCAAAGCGCGGACGGGCAGCGACAAGACACCCCTCAGTAACTTTACTGAGGACGGTTTCGGCAAGGTGTAAGAGGATGCGAGACTCACACCCGCCGAGAGCTTGAGCTGACAATGGAAAAGGTTCGTTACCACGGTCCAGACAGATGACAATGAGCTGCTTTTGCTGCGCTCGTATGAAACGAGGCAAGAAATCGACAAACACTCCAAACAGTTTCAGCTGTGGGAAGCCCTCCGCGCCACATCAGCTGCCACAACGTACTTTAAAGAATACCGTCGTGGCAATGCCGGTTATCTAGACGGAGCATTGAAAAGCAACAACCCCATTTTCCAAGTCCGTCAAGAAGCTCGAGACCAGTGGCCGGATAGGGAGGCTTTCTTAATCAGTATCGGGACGGGCACCAAGCCGTCGGTTCCTCTCAGGGGGAACCTTATACACCTAGCGAGAACACTGACCAAGCTAGTCACTGAAACCGAGGAAACCTGGAATCGGTTCAGGGGGTCACATAAGGAAATGTTGAAAGACAGTCTCCTATTTCGCTACAGCGTCCCCGAACTTGGAGGCGTGGACCTGGGAAACCACAAGTTGATGGGCATGGTCCGCACGAATACGGAACGCCATCTACGAGAAGCAGCAACAGAGAAATACGTCACAGCATGTGCCAAGAAGATGATGGAAATTGAGTCTGGTGAATTCGTGACTCTGCGCATGGGGAAATCCAGAGCCCTGCGTTTGGAAGATCTCTCAGAGCAGGAGAAAGGCGAGTAATTATGTCGGCCCTTCTGTGCGTTGGATGATGAGATTGCGGACGCTGATTCAATCGCAGACTGCTTGCGAAGTCTTCATGCAACCAGTGGAGATTACGAAAGCCAGAGGCTTGGTATCGACAAACCCGTCCCTGGAACCTGTAAATGGTTCCTTCGACATCCAAAATTTGTCAACTGGGAACGAGGTTCTGCCTCTTCTCTTCTCTGGGTGACGGCGAATCCTGGATGTGGCAAATCAGTCCTATCCAGCTTCCTTGTAGACACGCTAAATGATGAGAGCAGCCGGCCCATCGTCTGTTCGTTCTTCTTCAAAGCTGGCATCGATAGTCGCCGATCTTCGCACCAAGCTCTCTGCGTCCTCTTGCATCAACTATTCGTCGCTGCCCCGAACCTAGTACAGGCAGCGATGGAAGATTACTGCAGCAAGGACATCCTCTCTTTCACCAAAGACGTCGAAGCACTCTGGGCTATTCTCTGCGAAGCCGTGAGTCGCCTCAGCAAGCGCAAAGTCATATGTATCATCGACGCCCTGGATGAATGCTCAGATCAGTCGAGGAATCGTTTCATCAGTCAGCTCGTCACCGCAATCTCAGCCAACGGTTCCCTGAGTTCTGTCGGCAATCTGAAATTCCTCGTCACGAGCCGACCATGGCCCAGCATAGAGAGCCGCTTCCGCAACTTGCTCTCCATTCGACTTCGGGGGGAAGATGAGTCGCCGGCGCTCTCTGCTGATGTGGAGAAAATGATTGAGCATCGAGTGCGAGAGCTCAAGAAATCCTCATTTCTGTCCACAGAAGCCAGCTCTCTGGTCGCCAAGATCCTGACTGAGGGAGCCGATAGGACGTTTCTCTGGGTTTCTTTGGTTTTTGATGCCATTGAACGGCTTCAGTCACGAAAACTCAGCTCGATTGAACGGTCATTGGAGTCGTTACCGGGCGACCTAGATCAGCTCTACGAGAGCGCCTTAGCAGCATTCGTCGACCCCAAAGCGTCTTACAAGCTGTTAAGTATGGTGCTGGCTGCCAAGCGTCCACTAAAGCTCGATGAGCTGAATGTGGCCCTCAGTTTCGAAGAAAACACGATCTCGCTCGAGGCTTTGAGCAGGGAGCTCGAGCCCAATGCTGAGCACACCATCAAAGAACTGGGGGGGTTCTTCATTCGGATTATGGACTCAACTGTCTTTCTGGTCCACCAAACGGCGCGAGATTTCCTTCTTTCTCGTGGAACAAACCTCGTTGAAAAGCAACCGATCCACAGAGTCGACCTTGAACTGGCCAATTTCAGCCTAGCGAGAACTTGCATCGGCTTCATTCAGCTCGAGGGCTTGCCCGTAAGGCCGCAGCGTCCCATGACAGAAGAAGAACGCGTAAAGTCAAACGAGATTCTGTTAGCCAATTTACCAGGCTGGGCGAAAAGCTTTTATGTCTACGCCTCGACGGAGTGGGCGTCACACCTTGGGGGCGACGAAGTTTTCAAATCTACGTCTGATATACATGATGCTGTCCGTTCTATCTGCGACTCTTCTAAACCATACTTCAGTGCTTGGTGGTACTTGTATGTCGATGGAAAGTTCTTTGCCGGTAGTGGAAAGCAACATCCCCATTTCGGTGATTGCGCCGGTCGTTGTTTTGCTCATTGGTCCACGTTGAAAGGCTCTCCGGCTGCTACGCGAGGTTTGTTGGAGTCGGGAACGAGCGTCGCAGGAGAGCTGGATGCATATGGATGCGACCTCCTTTATCACTGTGCGTCCCGTAGAGATGAGCAAGCTCATTGGATTCTTGAGAATACCGATCATGCAACATTACATCTGCTCAATTTTCTGGAGCGCACAGTTTCAGAAGAAAACTGGAAGGTGTTCCAGCAACTTCTCCATACGCAAGTACAAATCAAGTTGCCAGAGCATGAAGCACGAGCGAGATATTATTCTCTCACTGTAACCGCTCTCAGACGACCCAAGTTCCTGGAACCTCTCCTGAACAGAGGCCTAACCATCTGTGGCAAGGAGTTTTTGGAAGCTGCGGAAAAAGGATGCCATGAATCCTTGGCACTTCTGATCGACCGCAGGCCCCAGGCAGTTGAAGATTTGCCACGGGTTCTCAAAGAAGTGTTGGTTCGGGCGACAGAACTGGGCTACCCGCGTTGCCGAACGGTGGTTTTGAGACATCTTTCTTCCGACGCCGCCATCGGCCTTGACTTGTCTGCGGGTTTGATAGAAGCTTCCTATCGGGGTGATCGCTGCAGCATTCGTGAGCTAGGTGCCATGGGGGCCTTGGACCAGGGCAAGGGTCTTGCCTTCAGCTGCGCCCTAGGAGACTCAGAAACTGCAGCGGCGTTCATCAATAGCATAGCGTACCCCCGCGAGGTTCTGGTAGAAGGTTTATCGACATACTACGACAGCAACATGGGATCTGAGTTGAAAGAATCCTGCTTGAAAACCTTAAGAAACGTTGTGGCTTCCCGGGGCAAGCTCTTTGAAGGATTCAGACTTTTTCCGATCTTTGGTTTCTCCTTCGAAGACGCCACACAACTTCTCGAACTACTTTCGGCCAGAGGAATTTTTATTTCCCGTCGGCGGTTTGTCGAGGCGACAGCAATAGTGGTTGCAATGGACGACCGGTTCAGCTACTGGCTGGCACAAGCCGCTAGCAAACTTCAGAACGACCCTACTTTAGCAGCCAAGGACTTTTTCCTGCTGGCATGTTTCTGGGGTAAGCCCTCTCTAGTTCAGTTGGGGGTTTCTGGAGCTGTCGATATCAATAAGCAAGATGGCTCTGGAATTACTCCTCTCATGGCAGCAACAGCATCCGGTAGTCTAGAGGTTGTGAGACTGCTTTTGGAGAAGGGTGCTAATCCAGACCAGCGATGCAAGGCACTAGTACCACAGCGAGGCACCATGTCAGATATCGAATGGGAGTTGGCCAGCCTGTGTATTCATTTTGCGAGAGGGCTCGGCATCGCATGTATGGAGGGCAGTCCTCGCTCTCTCGCTAGGCAGATGGGCCAGGTAGAGATCGAGGAAGTATTGAACGATGTTGGATGAGTTATGCAGTCAAGGTTGTGTCCCTCCAGTGTTGGACTGGGAGACTTGAAAGTTGAAAAGATTCGACAGGGATTCCCAATGTGACTTTGTGGGTTTGATTGTGATCCGAGGCTCTGGAGTCCGTTGGATGTTTGTCGTCACTGCGCCGTACGATGCGACTTGTCATGCAGGAGTAGGGCGTTGCACGGTTGGATCTGCAGAGGGACCCGGTAGCAGCAAGGATTATTCAGCCTCAGAAGAGGGCACCGCTGAATTATTTGGGGGCGATAGGTCACCGAGTAATCGCCGTTCTCTCAGAATGGAAGCCCGAGCTTGGGTTAATCAGCAAGGTATTGGGCCAAAAGAAACAATTCGTAATTAAAGCCCTATCGGTGTTTGAAGGCAATCTGGCAGGTGCATCATGAAATCATCACGGGTAGCGACAGCCGAGCTGACTGCCACGCGACGGCCGAGCCGTTACCTCCTCGCCTTAGGTATTACCTACAGCAGGGGAAGAAAATGGAAGGGACAGCGAGCGACCCGAAGGGGTACCGTACCGACAGGAAACAGACCCGAGTCAGTACTTGTGATTGTATGGGAACTACTACGTAAACACAAGTATATACGTATCGGGTGCCCCGCGGATGAACGCAACTCGCGTCATCGATCCCCTGTACCCCTGACAAATCAAGAAGGAAATTTACTAGCAGCGTCCATGTCACTACCTACCATGCTACTACCGCACCTTACCGGTAACGCGCATTCCACACAACTGGGAAGCACCAAATCCGAGCTCTCCTTCCCGCTTCTCAGGTCTGCTACCGTTGACTTCTGCATTACACAATCAGACAGACGCCCATTGCTTGCCCAACCACACGCGTTGATTCCCCCCTCCGAGGTATATAGTTTATTTCCTCCCGCGTCACCGCCAGAGTGCCCCTCCTTCCATCCCACATGTCTACCAGACTCTTCCGCCCTTTACAACGCATCGTGACATCTTCACTTGCATCAACATACCGAACCTTCCACTCTACATCGCCCAACATGGTTGTCCACAACGTCCGCAAGTAAGTCCAACTAGCCCCATGCACGTCGCTATCTCGCCTTCAATCTGCACGCTCCACGCGCAACCGAGATGTGCAATAATATTGTACAAAATACTGACCACTTTGTCCGTGATTCAGCGCCGAGGAATGGAAGGAGACCCTCAAGAACAACAGACTTGTTCTTCTTGACTGCTTTGCCACCTGGTGCGGTCCCTGCAAGGCTATCGCGCCCCTTCTGCTCAAGTAAGCCTCAAATACTCGAAATGACCAACAATGCTACGTGGACCGCTCGCTGATTACCCTACCTTGCCCACAGACACTCCAACAACGAGGACTTCAAGGACATTCACTTTGTCAAGATTGATGTCGACGAGGTCCCCGACGTGAGCCAAGAACTCGGCATCCGTGCCATGCCTACCTTCATGTTCTTCAAGGACGGCAACAAGGCTCAGGAAATCGTCGGTGCCAACCCCGTTGCCCTTGAGAAGACCATCGCCACTATCGCCGCCGGACATAAGGAGGAAACGGCCAAGGAGGCGGAGGCGGCTGAGAAGGCCGCCGCCGCCGCCGCCGAGAAGCCCGCCGAATCAACTGAGGCGAAGCAGGAGTAGGGAATAGACATACTTGCATCAAGAGGGGGGCAGAAAGGAAGACAGCTATTCCGTGTAGAGCTTGTCCACAGTTCAAGATACCAAACAAGGAAAATAAAACAAAATTATATCTACAGACTTTATCCAGGCTGAGAATCATGTTGTCGCCCAGCATAATGAGATGATTACCTTACGCAAACGTCGTTGCTGCTTTTTTCTCAAGGATTTTCTTCTTATTTATAATTGTACTGCAGTGGAGCTTGTCCTTGAGGATCAGCCTCCGATATGGTTGCGTAAAACATCTCATTATTTGAAGTGCGGCAGCCTGTCTATTTGAATGATCACTAATCTGACACAAGGATAGCGGACACGCGACGGCATTCACCGGCTCTTGGCGGTCGGTTTCCGCTTTATGACCGGGAGGTGACTCAAAGATTAAGAAAAGAAAAAAAAAGCCGTAGGAAAGTTCCTGACCGATGGGCCCCGCGCCGGTTTTCGGCTCGGCGTGGGCGGGGACACTTGTCCGCGGGAAGGGGGGCGCCCTGAATCGACAACATGGTGTCAATTGGGAGATAAACATGGCGCGATAGTGTGTCTATGCAGACATAAGTCACCAAAAGGCGTTGGTCGACATGCTTAAAGCTTCGTGTTCACTCTCTTGATCGATCTGAAATCCTTTAAAGCTGAGCAAATCTAATTTACCCAATTACGTTCAAAGATAAAGGAGCTTGTAACCAACAATACCTTCACAGAAGTACTTACTTATATATACACCTCTCCGACTCACCGACTTTGCTTGAAAGACAATCGGAGCATCTAGAGTTGATAGCTTGAATCGCGACCCAGACATTTCATAATGACCAACAACATTGTTGTGCTCGGGTAAGCAGACAGCAAATCATCTCAATGTCCAATCACTCACCGTGTCCAGCGCTGGTGTCTCAGGCCTGACCGCCGCCCTGCTGTTATCGAAGAGCAAAGGCAACTCCATAACCGTAATCTCCAAGCACATGCCAGGCGACTATGATATCGAGTACACCTCGCCGTGGGCTGGCGCCAACATGCTGCCGTAAGATCACGCACCACCCTCAACGCGAGGGAACATGGAACTAAAGCTAGATTCACAGCATGGCCCTAGAGCTTGACAGCAGATGGGAACGCAGGACGTGGCCTGAGCTGAACCGTTTGGCCGCCGAGGTCCCCGAGGCCGGCATTCACTTTCAAAGTGTGTATCCATAGCCTGAAATGCTGCCACCGTGCATAAAACCCCTAGAATACTGACCTTAATGTCCAGAGAGCCGCGTCTTCAGACGCAAGAAGGACATGGAGGCCGGCGGCAACCCCTACGACGCGCTCTACGCCGTCGACCCGTGGTACCGCAACGTCCTCCCGGACTACCGAGAGCTCCCAAAGGACGAGCTGCCGCCCAACGCCTACTCCGGCTCCGAGTTCACCTCGGTCTGCATCAACACGGCGCTCTACCTGCCGTACCTTGTAGGCCAGTGCTGCAAGAACGGCGTCGTTTTCAAGCGCGGCGACGTAGCCCACGTCAACGAGCTGACGGCGCTGCACCACTCGGGCAAACCCGCCGACATCATCGTCAACAGCGCCGGGCTTCTGGCGTGCAAGCTGGGCGGCGTGGAGGACAAAAAGGTCATCCCCGCGCGCGGGCAGGTTGTCGTCGTGCGCAACGAGGTCGAGCCGATGGCCACCATCTCCGGCACGGACGACGGGCCGACAGAGGTGTGTTACATGATGACGCGAGCGGCGGGCGGCGGAACGATCCTGGGCGGGACGTACGACAAGGGCAACTGGGACGCCAACCCGGACCCCAACATTGCGATCCGCATCATGAAGCGGTGCGTCGAGCTGTGTCCCAGCTTGACGGGCGGCAAGGGTATCGAGGCGCTGAGCATCATCCGCCACGGCGTCGGTCTGCGGCCGTACCGCGAGGGCGGGCTCAGGCTCGAGATTGACAAGACGACGTTGGCGGATGGCACGCCGATTGTGCATCATTATGGCCATGCTGGATGGGGATACCAGGGGTCCTATGGCACGGCTGAGGGTGTTGTTGAGTTGGTGAACAAGATCCGGGCGGAGAAGGGGGAGAATCTGGCTACTGAGCCCAAGCTCTTTTCCTGGGACCGACCGAGCAAATTGTAGCTTTTTTTGCATATTGAGGTTGGATTTGAGTTTTTGAATGGCAATTGGTTTAAATGAAGCGGAATTAAGAATTGGAAGAAGCAATAATAAACAGTAAGCGGACATTGACAAACCAAAGCCATCTGACAATAGTTGCTTCTTACACCACAGTGTGACCTGTCCCCAAGATGGCAAAGGCGGCACCGTGCAACTTGGACCCTGCAGCCACGAGTGCAACCTCCACCTGCCGTTCGCGACAGCTTTCAGAAGCTCCCCTGTACATCACCAAGCTTTCCGAACCTGCGCAATTCAGCCCGTGAAGCCTCACCATGGCCGAACCAGCGCCCCCGATTTACGTGCAAGCGTCTCGCTTTGTGCTGGATGTTGCCAATGGCCGTCACGCACTCTCCAAAGCCATACCACCCGTCCTTCTTGCGCTGGATGCCGTCCTCTGTGGACTCATCATCTGGAAGATCCCCTGTGAGCGGCGAACAACTCCAGAAAGAAAGTGACAGAGTACTGATTGTGGCATTGTAGATACCGAAATTGACTGGGTAGCCTACATGGAACAGGTCTCCCAATATGTATCGGGCGAACGCGACTATACCAAGATCAAAGGCGGCACCGGACCTCTCGTATACCCTGCCGCCCACGTGTACACATACACGGGCCTATACTACCTCACCGACGAGGGCAAGGACATCTTCCTGGCCCAGCAGCTGTTTGCAATCCTATATCTGGCGACTCTTGCCGCTGTAATGGCCTGCTACTGGCAAGCAAAGGTACGCCATCTGCTTCTGCTCCAGAACTACGGGTAGCTAGACAATTGAATGCTGACGATTCTCTCCCGTCACCAGGTCCCGCCCTACATCTTCCCGCTCCTGATCCTCTCGAAGCGCCTCCACAGCGTCTTTGTTCTGCGCTGCTTCAACGACTGCTTCGCGACCCTCTTCCTCTGGCTCGCAATCTTCTTCTTCCAGAAGCGACTATGGACACCGGGCGCGATCCTATACAGCTGGGGCTTGGGAATCAAAATGTCACTGCTACTCGTCCTCCCCGCCGTGGGAATCGTGCTCTTCCTCGGACGCGGCTTCGGTGGAAGTCTTCGCGCGGCATGGCTCATGGCACAGGTGCAAATCGTCATTGGGATCCCCTTTGTCTCGAATAACGCCAAGGGGTACCTCGGTCGTGCATTTGAGCTGTCACGGCAATTCTTCTTCAAGTGGACGGTCAATTGGCGCTTCGTGGGCGAGGAGACGTTCCTCAGCAAGCCCTTTTCAATTGCACTACTAGGACTCCACGCGACGGCTCTGCTCGTCTTCGCCTTGACGCGGTGGCTCACACCCACGCAGAGACCCTTGTCGTCCCTCCTCCCGGCGATGCTGCGGGGCAAGTCCCCCTTCTCGGCGCTGGAGGAGGCCCAGGTGGCCAGCCGGGTGACGCCGCGCTACATCCTAACCACGATCCTCTCGGCCAACGTCATGGGCCTCCTCTTTGCCCGGTCTCTCCATTACCAGTTCTACGCCTATCTAGCCTGGTCGACTCCGTACCTCCTCTGGCGCAGCGGTCTCCCCTTTTACGTGGTGTATATCCTCTGGGCGGCGCAGGAGTGGGCGTGGAACGTCTACCCCAGCACGGACTTGAGTTCGGAGGTTGTCGTTGGCGTGATGGCGGTCACCGTGGCGGCTACGTGGCTCGGCACGGCGGATGAAGGTGCGCCGGCCGAAAAGCCGGAGTCGAAGAAGCGGTGATGCGGTGGCAGTGGTGGTGGTGCTTGAACAGGGGCAAACATTCAAGTCATGTAAAAAGTCGCATTTCGCATCAGTAGTCGTCCTCGGAATCGGATGGCGGCATCTTGCCCACATTGGACTCTTCTTCGTCGCTGTCTTCGTACGTGTTGGTCTTGACAAACTCCTTGGGCCTGGCATTTCATCAGTCAGCAATCGAAGTGAAGACGCACGTACGTCTGCACATAGTGTGGAAAAGCTCACCAGTAAGCTTGCTTGCGCCAGGCCTTCTCGTCGCGAACGACGTTGATGATTTCGCCCATGACACGCCCGTCGTTCTCCTCGTATCTCTCGGCCAAGACGAAGCCGCCGCGCTTGATCCATATCGTGTTGCGGAAACGTTGGGCGAGCTCGAGGATAAAGTCCTTCTTGTTGGGCAGCTCGCAGGCATAGAGGTTGTTGCCCTCGGCCTTGACGACGCGCACGATGGCCTGGTTCTTTTCCAAGGTTGCCGGAGGGGTCAGAGTGTCTTCAGCCGCCTGAAGGGCGGAGCGCTTTGGTTTGCCCATTGGGTTTATGGCTGGCTGGCACGATGTTCGAGATTGAGCAAGATGATGGGATCAGGGAACTTTTTTTTCTTTTCTGGTGGTGAGTGACGATGGTGGGGTAAATTTTCCATCTAGGGATTTTTTTATTTTTTTTTTTGGAGGATGGAGGCGGGGTGATGTTTACTTTGTGGAGTACGTACTCCGGGCACTTGAAAGCTCAGGTTCTTCCTCTCAAGAGCCATTAAGAAGAATTAAGTCAATCCAACCACCAGACTTGGAAACGAATTGAAACATCCAACTAGACAATACTAAGTCATTGAGACTTAAGAAAATGTAATCAATGTATTTGGTATCACTCCAGGCATCAGAAGGGCTACGGGGTATAGGCATGGCAAAACACCGGCATCTTCAACCGGCGCAAACGAACCGAGCTTCTGCCGGCGGAGCTTCTCCGCGCCCCGGGGACTGGAACACCGACCACCTGGCTGCGCTAACTTGCGTTTTCCCACGCGGTCTCGGGTCCGCGACCCGCGATCAGTCGAGACTAGAATCTGGAAACCATTTTCCTTCCCTCCCCAACCTCCCATACCTAGTGCTCACCTTGCTCTAGCCACTGACGCTGATCAATCATTGCTCGTGACACAACAGCTCGCTCATGATACGGACTCAATGTTTCCAAGTGGATAGAAAACAGTCGTCGTCACCAACAAGTCTTGCATTCGTATCGCTGCAGCAGCCCGTCTGCTTTCACACCGTCTCGAATCCATCCCCAATTGCAATCGGCCCGTCCCCCACATGTCTGCGTTTCCAACCGGGGATATTTATCGAATGCCATCAAGGAGGCTAGACCAACTCCAGCTCGCCGGCCAGAGTACACAGGCTGCAAGTCCACAAGACCGGGACCCCATCTGCTTTCCTCTCACGAGCCTTGAAGGATTTTTTTCCCGTCTTTTCTTTCAAAGCCAGGTGGGGAAGCATGCAGGACTATCTGAACCCTGCATATGCTTCTTGTTCATAGGCTTGAGATAATGAACCCCTCCGACCCGCAAGGTGAAAGGGTCAGGGAGGCCCGCACACCTTACACGCCATGACGCTCTCGGAAAGTTGAACAGTTCTGTCAAGGATCCACGGTGGCTGCTACTATCGTGAGATTTTCCATTACTGTATACTTTTGCTACCTCCTCAGGTGGCCCGTTAGCCTTTTAACCGGATTACCTGCCGTATTTGTAAAAGCTTTCACTACCTGACTGAGGTACCTCGGTGACTCACTTATCTTTCTAGCTCCTCCCACAGATACATGAACCTTTACACCCTTCCACATTGTCAACTTTCCACTCTCACTCCCCTCAACCAAGGCCTTGGCCAGCGTGTTCCCGCCAGAACCCTGAACACAACACCGCCAAGTCCCTCCCTCCTAGATCCCAAACATGGAGGCCTCAATGTTCAAGACCCTCGTCGAGGTCGAATCCCGCGACCTAGACGCCCACCCTCCCCTCCTCCCCGCCGCCCCCGCCAAGGCCGTCCCGCGAACCTACCCGGGCGCACCACACCACCGTGACGGCTCCTCCATTGAGCTCGCCCGCATCGACACCGCCGCAGCCAACTACAACAACAAGAGCAGGACCGGGACACCGCGGGGCAGCGCCGGTCCTTCCCGGGCACAATCGCCGTCCCGGACACCCGGCTCCGGAAGCGATATCGAGATGAGCCGGCCCTCGACGCCGACGGCCTTTGACGTCCTGCAGAGCATCACAGACCCGCACATGAACCGTTACCGCATGGCCGCGTCGTGCCTCATGAATTTTGGCAACGGGCTCAACGACAGCGCGCCAGGCGCCTTGATCCCCTACATGGAGAAGTGAGTCCCCCATACCTAAGCACGCCCAGCGAGTCCGTGAGAACGACAGACTAACACCACATCAGACACTACGACATTGGCTACGCAATCGTGTCCCTAATCTTCATAGGCAACGCCTTCGGCTTCATCTTCGGCGCAGTCTTCCTCGAATCCCTACGCCTCAAGCTCGGCCGCGCCCGCCTCCTCGCCCTCGCCCAATCCATCATCACAATCGCCTACGCGCCCATCCTCGCCCAGGCCCCCTTCCCTGTCGTCGTCGTCTCCTTCTTCCTCATCGGCTTCGGCATGTCCATCACCCTCGCCGTCAACAACGTCTTCTGCGGCTCCCTCCGCAACGCCACCACCGCCCTGGGTTTCATGCACGGCGCCTACGGGGCCGGCGGCACCGTCGGACCTCTGATTGCTACCGCCCTCGTCACGGCTGCGAAGGCGCGCTGGAGCACGTATTACTTTATCCCCCTCGGCCTCGCCATCTTCAACGGCGTGTTCTCGACCTACACGTTCTGGCACTACGAGCGGGACCTCCCCGCCGGCGGCGCCCAACCTACGCCCGCCGCCGAGGCCGCAGCAGCAGCAGCGAACTCGTCCTCCTCACAGCTCCTCAGCATGTTCACCGCCCTCAAAATTCGCATCGTCCTCCTGGGCGCCCTCTTCGTCTTCGCCTACCAGGGCGCCGAGGTCTCCATCTCGGGCTGGGTCATCTCCTTCCTCATCGCGACGCGCAACGGCAACCCGGAATCCGTGGGCTACGTCACGGCCGGCTTCTGGGCGGGCATCACCATCGGCCGGCTCTGCCTCTCGCACCCGGCCCACCGCGTCGGCGAGAAGCTGTTCGTGTTCCTCGCCACCGTCGGCGCGGCGGTCTTCCAGCTGCTCGTGTGGCTGGTGCCCAACGTCGTCGGCCCCGCCGTGTCGGTCGCGATTGTCGGGTTGTTGCTGGGGCCGATTTACCCGTGTGCGGCGGCCGTGTTTATGAGAGGGATGACGAGGACGGAGAGGGTGAATGGGATGGGGGTGATTAGTGCGTTTGGAAGCTCCGGGGGCGCGGTGGCGCCGTTTACCACGGGTATGGTTGCGCAGGCTGCTGGGCCTTGGGTATTGCATCCGATTGCGATTGGGCTGTTTGCCTTGATGATGGCTTCGTGGTATGGTGTGCCGCATGACAGGAAGAGGAGCGTATGAGTGCTTCACAGAAGTCGTGGTAAATGGGGTACATCCCAACGACCAAAAAATAAGAGTGTCTGGCCAAATACCACCAATTATATGGCTGGGATGGTAGGAAAGATCCCAGGCTTCCAAGTACTTTGGAAATTGGTTTTAGTGATAGACTGGATGAGTAAGAGTATGAATTCAATCCGGATAGGGGATATTTGATACATACTGGCATTGCGTCAATATCATAAAAGCTGTACATATGTAAAACATAATCAAACGCAAGAGTGTGGCATTGCTCATTATATACCCCGTAGACCCAGTCTATGTCTATATCTAGTGTCAGAAAAGGAAGATCTCTGTTCTCCCGTCCTCGCTTTATTTGTATCTATACCGCCTCTGTTCTCTTCCTTTCTAGAAATACCTCTTGTATTTCTGTATATGTCCCTCGATCCATGTTTCGTTCGTTATCTAGTGGATACGTCCCCGCGCGGCGTCCTTGACGCTGAGCTTGCCCTCAACAATCTGCTTAACCGTGGACAGGATATCGGAGAAGTCGTTAAAGGTGACAAAGGAGATGCCCTCCTTTTCGCAGTAGGCGACGAGATCTATCAATCCTGTCAGTGACGTCCCATGAAGAGCCGATGTCGCAACAAACAGAATGAACGATGGCGGGGGCGGGGTAAAATGAGTCTCACCTTTATCGCGCTTGGCAAACAACAAATCCGTCTCGCGCGCAGCAGACAAATCAGAGACACCATCACCAGCATAAAACATGACGGGCCGCTCGGGCAGCGACGAGTACTTGCGCAGCTCAATCGACTTGTCGTGTCCGTGGATGCTGTCGTCATGGTAGACAATCTGCCACCCTCCTTCCTCGTTGATACTCGCCTTGCCCTCGCGCGGCGCAACCTGGTTGCTCACAATCTGGATATGCCCATCGACTTCCTCCTCGCCGAGCCACTGCACGAGCAGCGCGCGGATAATAGGCCGCATGCCGCCGGAGATAATCACGACGGGGACGTTGTTGGCGCGGCACCAGGTGTAGAACTCCTTGAAGACGGGGTCGAGCTTGACGTTCTTCTTGAGGTACTCGATGCACTGGTCAAAGGGGAGCTTGACCGAGTCCATCATCTCCTGGAAGCTGTCGCGGAAGTGCTTCTTGCCCTCGAGGACGAGAACGTTGCCCGCGCGGCGGTTCTCGTAGCCGTAGCCCACGTTGTCTGTGAGGAAGTCGTTGGAGTCTTCGAGGGTGATTGTGCCGTCAAAGTCGGTGAAGAAGATGAAGTTTGGGTTCGTGGCCAGGGCCGGGGTTTCGCTGACGTGGGAGCCCATTTTTTGATGGTCTTGAATGTGTCGGTGTAGTAGACAAATGTCAAAGAGTGCGGTTCTTGGAAGGATGGTGAGAATACAAGTGAATGCTTCTCAGTAGGGTGCGTGGGTGGGCGAGAAGTGTGTGTGTGTGTGTGTTCCTGTCTTGGAGGGTTTGAGGAACTGGAAATTTGGATGGAGGGGGAGGGGTAAAACCAAAAGGCTCGGAGGGTCACCAACAGATTTAGTTCAGTTTACAGATCCTTGCATGCGCGAGTACCTTACATGCAGATTGAGAAAAATCCATCAATGCTCAACGTGGAACAGCACGGTACATATCTAGCCGGAGGCTTCGAATCGAGATACTCCGCGCCTCCTACTGCCTGTACCTATTGGTCTTTCTTACTACCAATATGGTCCATCCTTGAATCAAGCTGGAATACAGCGAGTAAGACTCTTCCCAAGTTCCCAACACTAGGCAATACTTTCCACTGTCTAGTAAACTTGTCCGAGCAAGAGGGAAAATCTACCGTTAGTCCCGCTCCAGTGACGACATCCGCCCCTCTTATCCGACCGTCGCTTTGGCGGACCCTTGCAACGAGTCAGCGCGCGACCAATGGACCCTGAGAGCGCAGATTGCTTTGCAATTGGTTGGCCTTACAGCGCATCTCTAGCGGCCTCTGCCCGGGTAAATGTAGCAGTTGCTTCAGTGCGTTATAGGTAGGCGAGTGCTTGGTGGGCTAGTCTCCAAGTCGAGGGCCATTCTTAGTTGCGGGTAACGACACGTGCGGGTGGTGCAGAAACCTCAAGGATACTTTCAGAATAAGGCATGATTTCTAGTCAATGAGCTAAATGGCAGATATTGTCCAGTAAAAAAAGAGTAAGAAAAAGTAATAGAAAGACCGGACTTGTAGTCAAAGCTCGCCCAATCTCATCTCAATACTCTTCTTTGCCTTGCACTTTTATCTCGAGGCTTATCTACAAAGTACTAAACCAAACATGAAGCAACGAGCCTTCTTCGTAGAAACCGGCCAAGGTCATGTAAACGAGTTCTTCGACTAACACGTAGACTATCATGATGGTCAACTCGAATTATGTCGGATGAAAGGCTGATTCCAAGCCAATTTGAAAAGTTACTCGTCATGAGTCTATTGCTAAACAGATCCTCAGTCAAAAGCAGTGCAAATCGACTCGGTAGACATGCCGGGCCGTCAGTCTTCTTCGCCCTTCTACCGCCCCACTTTCCACACCTTCAACCCCGGCACCGGCCCGACGGGAGCCTCTACATCCTGAACGGCAGGCGGTGAAACATCTCCAAACCCCCAATTGAACCTCTCCCGGCAGAAAACCAGCGCCAGACCCGCCCGGTGCGCTCAACACGACGCCGAGTCCAGCCCCGAAAAAGCCCACTCGCTCCGCCCCAGAAGACCGCAGCTAACCACCTTGCCTTACCTTACTCCTCGTCCAAACTTTTGAACCTCTCTCTCCAAAATCCCTCCCGCCCTCCGTCCGCCGACCCGGCTTCCCCGTGCGTTCTGAACCACCCTCGGCCCATCCCCCAAACCCGCCAATTGGGCCGCTTTCTCTCCCGTCCTTTCTTTCACCGTCGAGGAAAGGAACAGAGAAGCTCGGCTTACTCTGTCCACCATCGTCGTATTCCGACAAACCTTCAACGGGAGAGGATGCACTCCATCGCCAGGCCGGCGTCGCGCCTAGTCCACGCCCGCCTCGGAACGGCACACCTCTCACGATGGAGGACCCTCGCGGCTCCGCCACCTCCGCGCCATAACCTCACATTGTCGTCGTCGTCGCCGCCCCCCTCTCGACGGTTCTACTCGGATCTGCCACCGATCTTCGCCCCCCCGCCGCCGAAGGAAGAGCCAAAGCAAGCTTCTCCGACCTCGACCTCCTCGACGACGAGCAGCGACCCGTCGACCCAGAGCTCGGATGCAGCCACTTCAAGCTCCTCCACAGCTCCCGACTCATCTTCGTCCTCTTCCTCGTCCTCGTCCTCGACACCAGACAAAGACACCACCACGAGCCCCTCCTCCTCCTCCTCCTCGCCCAAACCCGACACCCCCAAAAACCGATCCCCCGACGACCCCCTCCCAGACACTGCAACAAAAATCTACACCGCCCTCCCCCCAGCCCTCTCCGAAAAACTCTCCCACCTAATGGACACAGCCCAAACCCGCCTCCTAACCGCCTCGACGACCCTAAACACCCTGACCGGCTACGCCCCCATCGAGGAAATCAAACGCCAAAACGCCCTCCTCGAAACCCGCCTCGCCCAGGCCCAAGACCTCGTCCGCACCGCCCGGACAACCTACAAAACCACAAACGCCAAACGCGCGACGACCCAGCGCGAAGTCACGACCCTCCTCGCGCGCAAGGAAATGTGGTCGCCCACCGACCTCGAACGCTTCACCCAGCTCTACCGCCAAGACCACTCCCTCGAACAAGAAGTCGCCGCCGCGTCCGAAGCCTTGACCGACGCAGAACACGCGGAGCAAGCCCTGGGCCAGCAGCTCAACGCGGGGATCCTGAAGCGTTACCACGAGGAACAGATCTGGTCCGACCGCATCCGGCGCGCGTCGACCTGGGGAACATGGGGCCTGATGGGCGTCAACGTGCTCCTCTTCATCGTCTTACAGTTCGTCGCGGAGCCGTGGAAGCGCAGACGTCTGGTACGCGGCGTCGTCGAAGAAGAGAAAGCCGTGCTCGAGGGCGTGACGGCCGAGTTGGCTGGGCTCAAGGCCGCGTTGGCGCAGAGGGAGGCGTACGAGGATGCCGCCACGGCTGATGATGTAGCCGCGTACATGGCGTCCACAATGGCGGCGACAGGGACGACAACACCCGTTGTGGCAGCAGAGGAAGAGACGCCACTGGCCGCGGCGGAACCCACATCAGTAGAGGAAGCAGAGGAGCTTCTGGCAGCCAAGGTCGAGGAGCCGGCCGTCCAGCACGAGATGGAGCGCGAGGTCGCGAGTGCGCTCGAGGTCTTGGAGACGCAGGTCCCCGAGGCGAAATCATGGCGCGAATCATGGCGCGAGCTCCTCGCCGACCCGGAGCTCCTAAAGGCGAAAATCGCCGATTTGTACAGCGAGCGCCGCATCGATCTCCGCATGCGCGATGCGTCCATCTTGGCTCTCGAGGGCGCTGCCGCTGGGGCGACGTTCGCGGCAGCTCTGGCATTGCTGCTGGTGAGGAGGACATGAAGAAAGAAAGAACATCACATCACCACTAGAACGTGATTGTAAATACATCTGTACAATATGATACCATATAGAGAGAGCATGGGGGAAACATCCTCTTCGATATTGGCACAAAAAACAACCACGTCGATCCTCAGGACACACGGGGCGAGCAATCTTGTCATCCGCTGAATGTTCCGTCTATTAAAGAAGCTGCGGCAGGGGTGGCGCAAAACCTCGCTGATATACCTCTAGTCACGGTTCCGCCGACTTGGCCCCTTTTTCCAATGTTCACTGGTGAACAGTCGGGGCCATACTACTTTTTGCTTCATATATCGTGTTCGCCCGTCACTTCGTTTTTTCCGCCTGCGGTTTATCGTCACAACCCCCGACGACGCGCAGCGTCTTCACGCAGCATCAACAAGCATCGCTCGTGCTGGACATGCCTATATGGCACACATAGAGCTGGCGCTTATCCACGCTGTACCCGCTCGGCATTCTCCCTCCTTCTCACCCTCATCGAAGACGTCACTGAAAGGATCCAGCAACATCCAGGGCTCATTTTCAATCTAGTTTCCATCATGACTCTAGTCAAAGTCGGCAGTGTAAGAGAAACCACGGAACTCTTCTTGCATGGCTTGCGACAAGACTATAGTCTGGTTAGCTGCTGATATATCCGTCATGACAACGAAGATATACATACCTGATTGGACAGGGGTCAGGACAGGTGTAACGCTTGTGAACTCAGAATCGAAGTTGCTGGTATCGGTCGCGCTCTTAATCTGCGGCATGAAAGGCGGCGCAACGCGCTTGTGGTAGATATCATCCCAGTTGATGTTCCTAAAGAACGGTTGGTTCATGATCTCCTGCGCGTCCGTGGGACCGCTTCCAAGACGCTGGTCGGGCTCTCTGGTCAGGAGCTTCTGAAGGATCGATACGGAGTCTCTGGGCATGTGGATGGGGTACAGAGGCTCGTCAGCAAGAATGGCATCGTAAATTTCGTCCTCGTCCTCTCCTCGGAAGGGTGATTGCTGGAGAAGCATCTGGTATATCAAGACACCAAATGCCCACCAATCAACGGCACGGCCGTACTTCTTGTCGAGTAAGATCTGGACCAACAGTCAGCGGGAGTCTTGTAAAGAAAGGTGAATCAATATACCTCGGGTGCCATAAACTCTGGAGTGCCGCAGAAGGTGCTAGTAGTCGAGCCGAACCACATGTCTTCCTTGCAAAGACCGTAATCAGCAATCTTGATGTGTCCGTCCAAGGTCAAAAGGATGTTGTCAAGCTTCAGATCACGGTAGATGACACCGTTCTCGTGGAAGTACTTGAGCGCCAAGCAAACCTCGGCGGCGTAGAACCTAGGATTTGGTCAGTCAATGTCTTGGCGAAAATGGACGAGGGGTTACGTACTGCGCTCGCTTAGTGCCAAACTGGCCTCGCTGAATGTGCAGCATGAGATCACCACCGCTAATGTACTCCATAACGAAGTACACACGGGTCTCAGTCTGGAAACATGCGTGAAGGTTGGTCAAGAATGGGTGCCTCTCCCGGTTGGCGATAAGGAATACTCTCTTCTCGGAGCGAATGCTCTCCACTTCGTCATTCTCAATGATGAACTCCTTCTTCAACACCTTGATAGCATAAAGCCTCTTGGATCGCTTCGTTTCCGCAAGCATGACCTTTCCGAAGTTACCCTTGCCAAGCACAGCCAGGAAGTTGAAATGGTCGAGGCCGATACGTTGACCAGTTCCAGGATCGGTGGCGGAAGGCAACGGCTTACGTCCAGCGCCAGAGCTAGGAACACCCCCAGTTGATGCAATGGGTGAG